GGGGAGCTACGGTATTTTCCAAACTGGATCTGCGGTCCGGATACTGGCAGATACGGATGGCGGACAACTCTATCCACAAAACTGCTTTCCGAACTCGGTACGGATCGTACGAGTATCTAGTAATGCCGTTCGGACTCACCAACGCACCCGCAACGTTCCAAGCAGAAATGAACCACATCCTACGACCACTCTTGGACGAATGCGTGGTGGTGTACCTGGACGACATCCTCATCTACTCGCGCGACATGAAGCAGCACGTCGAACACCTGCGACGCGTCTTCGAAATTCTTCGACGAGAACGATTCTACGTCAAACTGTCCAAGAGCGAATTCGCCCTGGAGAAAGTCCAATTTCTAGGACACATGGTGAGCGCTCAAGGAGTTCACGTCGACCCCAAGAAAATCGAAGCCGTACGTACGTGGAAGACACCCGAGAACGTGAAGGAGTTGCAGCAGTTCCTAGGCTTCGCTAATTACTACAACAGGTTCGTGCCACAGTATGCGAAACTCGCGGCACCACTCACGAATCTGCTGAAGAAGAACACGCCCTACAAATGGGAGACGAAGCACCAGGAAGCCGTGGAGCAGCTGAAGCAAGCACTTACGTCCGCACCGGTACTCATCTTGCCAGATCCCGAACGTGACTACGTCATTGAAGCAGACGCCAGTGATCAGGCCGTGGGGGCAGTCTTGATGCAAGACCAGGGGAATGGACTGCAACCAATTGCCTACCTCAGCAAGAAACTGCACGGGGCAGAACTCAACTACCCGATACACGACAAAGAGGCTCTTGCTATCATCATCGCCTTCAAAGCGTGGAGATGCTATCTCGAAGGACGCAAAACAACCGTCTACACTGACCACTGCAGCCTAAAATATTTGAAGACACAACCTAACCTTTCCAGGCGGCAGGTCCGGTGGATCGACTTTCTCGAGACGCACTTCCACTACGACATCGTGTACAAGCCCGGCCACAAGAACAAAGCAGACGCCCTTAGCCGGCCTGCACACGTTGCCGCTATTCAGGTCGAAGGGATGAATCCACTACTCAAGGGACTCTTCACACACGGGTATACCATCGACCCCGAAATTCCCTTGGCAGAAAAGCGACATCTGCTACAGTGGGACAGTGACATCGCGTACCGGAAGGGATCCACAAAAATCTGGGTACCCAATTACCCTCCTTTGCGCCAGTTACTACTCGAAGAATACCACGACGTCCTGTACGCCGGACACTTCGGTAGCAACAAGACGCTTACCGGTATCGCCAAACATTACTACTGGCCCCATATGGCAGACGACGTCCAGAAATTCGTCACCTCGTGTGATACATGTCAGCGGATGAAGAGCAGCAAGCAGAAAAAGGCGGGACTACTGCAGCCTCTTCCCGTCCCAGAACAACCATGGCAAGTGGTTAGCCTGGATTTCATCACCGGGTTACCACCTACCACCAGCAGTCATGACGCGATCCTCGTCGTCATCGACAAATTCTCTAAGATGGGACACTTCATCCCGACGCACACGACAGCACGCACCGAGGAGACAGCACAACTCTTCGTTCGATTCATCATCTCACAGCATGGCATTCCAACTACACTCATCTCCGACCGAGACCCCAAGTTCACCAGCAAGTTCTGGAAGGAACTTATGTCTCTCCTCGGGACAAAACTCGCCATGTCATCTGCATACCATCCGCAGACAGACGGACAGACCGAGCGCCTCAACCGAATTGTTGAGCAACTCCTCCGAGCAGCCTGCAAGGGCGACATCTCCAAATGGGACTTGCACCTACCCGTCCTGGAGTTTGCCTACAACAACGCTACACACGCCGCTACGGGACAGACGCCGTTCTTCCTCTGCTACGGACGCCACCCACTCACACCACAGAAACCGACAGCATCAGCAACAGTCCAACCTGCACATGATTTCATTACAACCATGCATCAGCTTTGGGATCGGACCCACAAGCGCCTCCTTGACATTCAACAGCAACAGAAGCGCCAGGCCGATCGCCATCGCAACGACCACACCATTTCCGTGGGAGACCAGGTTCTTCTTGACACCCGCAACCTGGACATCAGCCATCTCCCATCTAAATTTCGACCTCGCTTTTGCGGGCCTTTCCTCGTTGAAACACAGGTCACTCCTGTTACCTTCCGCTTACGCCTGCCAGCTACCTGGAAGATTCACAACGCCTTCCATGTCCAACTTCTGAAGCCCTATCGGGATCCTAACACGATCTTCGTCGGACGCCAACCGCCGCCGCCGCCGCCCGTCCTCGTCCAAAATGAACCCGAATACGAGGTCGAGTCCGTGCTTGCACACCGCCGTCGTCGGAATGGCACCGTGGAGCTTCTTATTCGCTGGAAGGGTTATGATCCTTCTGAAGACAGCTGGGTCTCTGAGACCGACATGGGTAACGCCCGTCGTCCTCTGCATGACTACCTTGTCAAGCAGGGTGTTACTTCTACCACCCAGCTTTGAGGGGGGGAAGTGTGAGAGTACGACCTCGTTACACCACTTGGCCTTTTCCATATTTCATCTTCATTTCATTCCTCTTTTTATCTCATCTCATTTGGTCTCATATTCCCCATTTTCCATTATCCTTTGATTTCTTCCCTTATTATAATTATATCACCGACCAGGCATGGAATGTTCTAGACACGCTATCTAGCGTAATCCTGCCGTAATCCCTTAAAGCCAATAGCTTCGCGTGGCTATACGCAGGGTGATTCTATATTCTAGAAGGGTCTATTACTTTAGATAGGATAAAACCTGGTTACCTGATGTACTCTGGAAGTATAAAAGCGCCTTGTACTGATCGATAGTGCAATCGATCCTCGAGTCATTCGATCCTGTGACAGTTTCTCCTGTTGCACGAAGCGTCCCGAGGAGCACATGTGTTGACCGCAGCAGCTGTCCAGGAACCAGGTGTTTCGTCCGGTTGGTTCGGCGTTGGCGACCGCAGCGTACGTCGGATTGACTTGAAGTCCTTGTGAGCGTGGTGGCGGGAGCTCTTCTTTGTCTGGCGTGTAAGTGGGTGGTGAGCCGGGTGCACAGTTGTCGATGTGTACCATGCAATTGATAATGTTTGGTGTCTGTTGTGCAGATGTTGAAGAGCGCCTTGGGGGACTTGCTTGGGTTGAAGCAACTTGTGGGTCTGCTGGACGGTAAACGCGAGGGCGGTTGCAGTTGACCTTGGAGTGCCCGGAAGTCTGACAGTTGTGGCAGAACGGCGGCACAAAGGTAGTCCCTCTGTTGTCGCGCTCTTGCTTGCTGCGTCGATTGTAGGTGTTGTCGTTTCTTCGTTGAGTGTAGAAGACTAACTGCTGCTGCTTCCTTGGTTGCCTTTCTTCGAACAGGTCCATCTCCTGTTGTTCAGCGTGAAGCTCGGCGCAGAGGTGCATCTCCGAAATTCTTCCGTGGGCGCGAAGAAGTGATCGTGTGGTTCTCCATTCTGGCCCGAGCCCGGCGAGGACAAGTGTCACGAAGCTTTCTTCAGTGATTGTTCCTCCGCACCGAAGCAGGCGGTCGCGGAGAGTCTGGCATCGACTCATATATTGCATTGCCTTTTCCCCGATCTTCATCTGTATTGTTGTCAGTTTTTGCATGAGTCTGCTTTGCGTCACGCTGTCGTTTGCTTGATAAAGGTGTTGTGTGATGTCATCATATGTTATCACATTCTGTCTGCCTCCCATCCCTTGTTTCAATTCGCACGTATGGTTTGACTGTGTGTGAAAGAATTTGTGTGGTGTGTGTTCTGGAGTTTGGGAATGTGTTTTGTGTTATTCTGTCTGAGCAGGTATTTGTGATGATAGATCTTGAGAAGATCTTTCCGACGCAACAAGAATCGCGTCAATCGGAGCAAGAACGCGAAAGCTATGAAGATTCAAAGTTCATGAGCTTGCGTTACAATTGCGGCGGTTACAAAGTGAAGTTGTGGGGTGACTTTATATGGAGTTGGGACCTTTGGGGTTGGGGAAATTCGTCACTCTACTGTAACAGCTGCAAATTGGTTGGGAACAACCAAGCTAGGTTGGCAAGGGTGGCCAACTTGGATGGATTGGTTGGGAAGGGACAAATGTCAAAGTTGGGGTTCCTATAGGGAGGGAATCTTTGTGCTTATGGGGTTTCCTTGGTTGGGGACTCTCTTGGGACCTTCCCTCTCATCCCTCTCTTCTATCCCAACCTTTCTCTTGCTCCTCTAATTCCTTGTGAGATTCTTGAACTTTGATTGAACTCTTGAGATTGAGTTAAGTTCTCCTCCTACAGCTTACCCCCTAGTGCGTCGAAAGCCATAGCGTCGCGAATACTTCATCAATCAACGTGATTCAAATTGGGAACGGTAGCTGAGATCAAGAGCTACAACATATCCAAGTTTCGCGACATTCCAACGGCTAGTGTTTTGTCGACGTCGTTTCTTGTGAAGACGACTTTTCTGTCCAGAATTTCGGATTTATATTTTGAGTAATTCTAGCTCCTAAGTTCACCTAGACTCTGTCCTTAATTCTAACAAAAGGCACTTGAGATGATGCCATGCGAGTTCCGCGGAGTTCCCATAACTCCGATATGTTCTGATGCTCTGCTGTTCTTGTGGTGATAGGTTCCGCAGGAGGACTGTATACGCCAGCAGCGACTGATACGTGAAGATCTCTTGCTCCTTTCCAGTGCCGTTGCTTGGAAATGGCAGGGACCCGTTGAAGTATCCCAGAAGATGCGCGGCCTCCATCAGCAGCTCGAACTCGAAGCTCCAGGTAAAGAAGTCGTGTCCGTTGAACGGTGAGGATGTTTGTAACTTAATAACGTGTGAGAATTGAGCCTGAAGACTGAGAATCTCGTTTGGTGTTTGTTGTGATGCAGCTGCTGTTGGTTGGGCGCGGGGCGGCATGAACTCGAACGTCCCCGGTGAAGAATGATACGGCGCAAAGGTAGGCGCTTGGTTGTGTCGCCCGAAGGATGAGTTGTCGAGGCTCATCGGCGCTAATCCCATGTTTCCTCCATTGCTCTGTGTTGAATGCGCATGTGTCCTTGTCTGCTGCTGCTGGTCGAAGTGCGACATGAAGCTGAAGAACCTTTCCATAAGGTTGGGGTCCACGCTTGAAGAGGGAGATGGAGTAACCATCTCTGGTACTCTTCCCGTTGTTTCTTGAGTAGTCCCGGTCTCTGTCTGCAGTCCTGAGGTGTGCAGACCAGAGTTGCCGTGTTGAGTTTCTTGGCCGCTGGGTGAGCCCGTAGAGACTTTCTTGCCCTTGCTGTCCATGTCTTGCAATCAATGAAGTCGTTGAGTTGAGTTGCAGGTTGGTGATAGAACGTAGTTGCTGGGAGTTTGGTCTCTGACCAGCTCTCATACCATGTTGGGCTGAGAAAAGCCCTTGGGATCTTTCCAGAGACTAAGTCCCAGCTGTAAAGACTTGAGACTTGGGGTAGTGCAGCGGAAGTTGAGGCAGTTGAACCCTTGTACTAGTATGTGAGAACAAGTGATGATAAAAAGACAAACATACAGCAATATATAGAAGATAAGAAACAGTTGTAGAGTACAGTTGCAGTAGCGGTTTATCGAGTCGTACAGCGACTCGATTGTCGCTTCGGTTACCATCCGTGCTGTTGTAACGGTCAGTCGCAACCTCCAGTTGCGACCCTTTGAGTCCCAAACCCTTCGTGTTCTTTGTCCGCCCCCTCGTGTAACCTCCGTTGACTCGCGTACCCCTTGCAATCTTCCTCGAGTGTAGTGTTACACTTCAGAAACGCTTAAGTCTTTTGATGTACTTTCAACACGTATCACTGAGCCTTTGTTGAAGGGTGTTTTCCTTTTCTTATTGCTCCTGAATTCCTTTGGCTATTTTCCGTGGCTTTTTATATTATATTGGATTCTGATTTCTTTTGTACGCACAACGCAGTGCTTCTATTTTTACAGCCTCCACTCTTATTGGAGTCTTTTTGTCCCCCAGTCATAATTTATTGTTATTCTTTATTTATTTTTGTTACGATATACTTATTGTCAGAGGCAAAACGAAGCAGCCTATCACAAACCTCGTGATTTTCTCCCTTTTTTCTTCTCCCTCCTCTCATTTGTCGTTCTCTCTGCTTCCATTTCTCCCTGTCCTCACTCTCCTCTCCTTCCCCATGACCCCCTCTCCATCTCTCTTGTCTCGATTCCTCCTTGTCTCTAACCATCTTCAACCTCTTGCCATGTTTCTCCCCTAGGCACCACAAGAATGAACTTACGTGGCACAAAGACAGCGTGCCACAAGCACTGCTTGCCCATGCAGTATGGAATGGCAGGCAGCACTCGATTGGGTAATTTGAATGGCAGGCATCACTCGATTAGGTAATTTGAATGACAGGCATCATTCAATAGTATGCTATGAACCGCTTAAGGTTTCGAAGCTGAATATCAAAGCTATGTGAATTCAATTTGGTGATACAGGTATTATATTTCAGGCCGCATTCGTGACTTCGGACAAACTGGTGTGGTTCACCACCATTTGTTGCCTAATTTTTTTTGTTGTATTAGTGTTTTATTGTGCGTTTTTACATTAACTGTAGCACACCTCACCATGGGGTGAAACAAACTAATTTGTACAGAATCGAGTGTGGAACCCCTATTCGATCACGACGATGGCAAGTGTGTTTCCGTTGACGGTTCATTCGTTCTGACGAGGTGCCCCAGCGAGGGCTGGTTTGCTGTGCTGATTCTACCTGACCACTCTGAAACTAACACGTGGACGGCGTGGTTCATTTACACCTCGACGTTTGGCCAGAATGGAGATTCCCCGTCAGAATGTTCAGCGTGGCGTGCCACGCTGGATGCTTGCTCTATTGTCTCGTGCCATCGTGTACCCTCGGTACAAATACAGCAGTTGTAGAGAGACAAGTCCCTTGCCTTTTTTATCCATCACATCGATCCCCTCGCACCGCTCGTTTCTATCACATTCCCTGAGCCCGAACAGAGCCCTGGGCAACAGAAGCTCAACTTCAGAGAATTCGCCAACCATGCCACTCCAACGGCGTCCAGTTGCGTGATCGTTTCCCGCAACCGCAGCGGCTGTCCCACACCTCCCCCCCTCCGTTAGCTTCACACTAACGCGTGAAGATCCCGAGTTTCCTGGACGCTCCAAGCAGAGCAAGCCCCGCTTGCTTCGCGAACCTAATTTGTCCCGTTCCAGTGCTCCGCAGCGCCGTAGCGGCTTGTTGGTTTCCGTCTCGTCAAGCAGCTGCTGCTCTCGTTCTGCTAAGACGTCCGCGTCGGCGGAAACGCAGGTCGCGGTTTACCCGTCAGCCATGCCTGGGGGAGGTGTTTCGGAGGGCTCCAATGGCGGGTCATTTGGAAGCAAAGAGGCGGCAGAACTTGTCGCTAGCGTGCGCGAGGTGTTTCGCAGCGGGCGGACGCGGTCGCGCGAGTGGCGAGAGGCGCAGCTGAGGGGGATCGAACGGCTGATGATGGACGAGGAGGAGGCGATCTTCGCAGCGCTCGCGAAGGACCTCAAGCGAAGCCGAGTCGAGAACGTCCTATGCGAGGTTAGCGAAGGAACAAGTTGGCGAGGAAATCGCCCGCGTACGTAGTTACAAAGTTTTTTTTATCGAACTAGCCACACATCATGCCACCAAGTCCTACCTTCGATCGGGAGAAATTCCGAAAGAGCAAGAACCATCAGCGCATCTGCGCGACGCCATTAGCGCTCTTCGCGAGTCAGCCTGGCAGCGTGTATCGCCCTTGAGGTGGCTCGGATTTTCCCGCCTCACCCTCCATGTGGCTTGGCTCTACTCTACTACTCACTACTCACTTCCCTTCCGGCTCACACACTCACACCCACCCCTGTCCTGGCAGGCAATGCGGTGTACCAGACAGCCACGCAGCCAGCCAACAGTCTCGCATCTCTTCACTCGGATCCCGCCTCTCGCTCCTCTCCGCTCGCTCCTCTCCTCTCAATTTCCTCCACCCCTGGCCTGCCAGGTCCAAATGTACCAGCCGGCCAGACAGTCAGCCAACAATCTCACTCGTCTCCTCTCACTTCTCTCCTCTCCTCTCACTTCCCTCGTTTCCTCGCACTTTCCTCCACCCCTGGCGTGCCAGACGGTGCAGGTGTACCAGTCGGCCAGGCAGTCTGCCAGCAGTCTCCGCAAGTGGATGAAGCCAGAGCGGGTCAGTGCCTCTTTGCGTCTCCTCAGAGCGGGTCAGTCGTGTCGTGAGGCGTAGTCTGCCTCGGTGTGCCCATGTGCTGTGCCCATGTGCTCATGTGCCCATGTGCTCATGTGCCCATGTGCCCATGTGCTCATGTGCCCATGTGCCCATGTGCTCATGTGCCCATGTGCCCATGTGCCGAGGCAGACTGTGCTGTGCCTCACGCCATCTGTGCGTTCCGCTGTGGGCTTGCAGCAATCACCGCGCCCGTACTAGGAGACTCCGTGTCCAGCCCTCTAGTTGGTGTCTTCCTGCGCTCTTCCACTCTTGATGTTTGAGTCCACTCAAGCACCGACTCTTATCTCCCGATCCCGGGCTGCTTGACGCGGTTCCGTGCCCCGTGCTCCTCTCTCAATTAAAATCTTTCTCCATTTAATTGATTAAGTCTCAAAACTAGGTCATGTGCCCGCTCCCTGTTCAGTTCAGACCCATTCCTTTCTTTTCCTTGCGTTTGCTTGCCAATCCCTGCCTGCCAGGTGTCCACCAACTTCGTCAACGTGCCGGCGCGCAGTGAGATCGTCTCAGAGCCCTTTGGAGCCGTGCTCATCTTCGCTGCCTGGAACATGCCCTTCTGTGAGCCCTGCATGCACGCACCCACTCACGAGAACCATTCGCTGCCATGCATTCTCACCCCACTGAGCTTCCTGTCACCATCCCTGTGCTTGCCTCGCTGCTCCCTCTCTGCCACAGCTCTCTCTCTTTCTCTGCTTCCCAGGGAGCTCCCTGGCCCCGCGCACTGTGGTGCTCACTTCACTGCGCGTAGCGCGCTGGGGCGCTCTCAGTGCCCTCTTCCTGGCCCACTGCGGGCGCCAGCTGCAAGGGTAGACTGCAGCCTTCAAGCGCATCCCCCCCTCCCCTCCCCCCTCCCCCCCCCGGCATCCCCCGGCCCCCTCCTCTCTCGACTGTTGCGCTCCCGTCCTCATTGCACAGTTCTCTCCTTGGTCCCGCTAATTGTCGCCATAGCAGCTGGCAACGTGGCAGACAGCGCTCAAGCCATCTGGGCTGATGAAGGCTTGACGTGCCTCCTCTCTTTTGTCTCTCACCACAATCTTCCCAACTCCCCCCCTTCCTCCCCTCTCTCCTCCTCTCCGCATTTCCCAGCGCTCTCCTTGGACCCGCTAATCTGCGCCATAGCAGCTGGCCACGTGGCAGGCAGTGCTCAAGCCGTCTGAGCTGCATTGAGCTCACACTCGCTCTCCTTTCCCCTGCAACGCAAATCCTCTGTCTCCTGCTGACCCCCTTCTTCTCCCAGCGCTCTCCTTTGACCCGCCCGTCGGCGCCATAGCCGCCGGCAACGCGGCGGTGCTCAAACCATCCGAGCTTACTCGAGCTCAAACTGGCCCTCTTGCCTCCTTTGCCCTCCACCCCGTCCCGCCCTACTTCCCCATCCCACACCCCTGCCCAACCACCCAGTGCTCTCCTTCCTTCCTTGACCCCTCATCTCATCAGCGCTATAGCAGTTGGCAACGGGGCAGTGCGCAAACAAGATGGGTTGACCAAGGCTTGACTTGCTCTCTCTTCTGTCGACCACCTCCCTCTGCCCCACAACCTGCCCCCCTCCCCCAACCCCTTCATCGCCTAGTGCTCTCCTTGGACCCCCTTATTGGCGCCATAGCAGCAGGCAACGTGGCGGTGCTCAAGCCGTCTGAGCTGGCGCCAGCGTCATCCGCCCTGCTGGCAGAGCTGCTGCCACGCTATGTGGATAAGGAGGCAGTCCGAGTGGTGCAGGGCGGCGCTGACGTGGCAACCGCCCTGCTGGAGTCCCGATGGGATAAGATATTTTTCACAGGTACGGCCGTACCTGCCGACGGCATTTCGCATAGCGCAGGTGAAGGCGTACCTGTGAAACAACTCTCCTAGTTCTGCTGCTGCCCTTCCATCCAACCATGAGTGACGATGGCGTAGCGTGGGTGGCTGAAGGCTGTTTGGAGATGTGTCATGTGGACGAGGGACGAGGGCAGTAGAGGTGTTCTATGTTGTGCCCCACGTGGCATCACATGCAGCGTTTATACGACATGACATGCAGTCTCGAAGAAACATGACGTACAGAACAATGTCCACATGACATGACTTAGCAGTGTTCACATGCCACGAAGGGTGTGGAGATGTGTCTGTGGCCAATACCTCACATGGTTTTGCAGTAGTGACACCTGGCTCCTCCTCGTGAGGCTCCCTCTGTCGTGGGCGATTGTCGCATATTTCACTGCTTCTCCCAGCCATCCCCCTCATCTCTTACCCCTTCTGCCATCCCCCTCATCTCTTACTCCTTCAGCCATCCCCCTCATCTCTTACTCCTTCAGCCATCCCCCTCATCTCTTACTCTTTCAGCCATCCCCCTCATCTCTTACTCCTTCAGCCATCCCCCTCATCTCTTACCCCTTCACATCGTGCCTGCTTACTTTCTTCACAGCTCCCCGTTTTGCATCTCCTTCCTTCCTTGACCCCTCTTCACCCTTCTCCTCGCCTCTTCTTCTCCTCGCCTCTTCTTCTCCTCGCCTCTTCTTCTCCTCGCCTCTTCTTCTCCTCGCCTCTTCTTCTCCATACCTCGTCTCTCACATCCGCCCCGCCCTCTCAAACCCACTCTTCTCTCAGCTTCTTTGTCCCTTCTTTTTTCCCAGAAGTGCTGCCATGGGGGTAAGAGTGCTTGCAGCAATAGCCAAGCATCTCCTATCCTAGAGTCCGCTCCTTCCCTGTTTCTCTGCTTCCTCCCTATACCCTTCTTCCACCCCTCGCCCCCCCTCCCCTCCCCTCCCCTCCCCTCCCCCCCCTCCCCTCCCCCCGTTCCCCTTTTGCAGCAGCGGCCACAGGGCGAAGCGTGCTGGCAGCAGCGGCCATAGGGCGAAGCGTGCTGGCAGCAGCGGCCACAGGGCGAAGCGTGCTGGCAGCAGCGGCCATAGGGCGAAGCGTGCTGGCAGCAGCGGCCATAGGGCGAAGCGTGCTGGCAGCAGCGGCCATAGGGCGAAGCGTGCTGGCAGCAGCGGCCATAGGGCGAAGCGTGCTGGCAGCAGCGGCCATAGGGCGAAGCGTGCTGGCAGCAGCGGCCACGTATCTGTTGCCATCCCACGCGCCCATGTCATGTTGCCATCCCCTTCCTGGCGTCTGGCATCTTCCCTCTGCTTCTTTCGTTTCTCTCTCTCCCCAGGAGGAGCAGCCATCGGGCGAAGGGTGCTGGCAGCAGCGGCCAAGCATCTCACGCCAGTGGCTTTGGAGCTGGGGGGGAAGAACCCCGCTTACATCGACAGCTCTGCGGATTTCAATGTCAGTTGCGCCTCTGCCGTTGAGTGACATGCCGTGTGTCTGTGTGTTGTGTGATTTGCATGCCCTTGTTTGTGCCACCAACCAACCTGGGTTCCATGAACCTGCCTATTGCTCTCCTGGTGACAGGCTTTTGAGAATTCCCTCAAGCCTCTCGTACCAACCTGGGTTCCATGAACCTGCCTATTGCTCTCCCGGTGACAGGCTTTTGAGAATTCCCTCAAGCCTCTCGTACCAACCTGGGTTCCATGAACCTGCCTATTGCTCTCCCGGTGACAGGCTTTTGAGAATTCCCTCAAGCCTCTCGTACCAACCTGGGTTCCATGAACCTGCCTATTGCTCTCCCGGTGACAGGCTTTTGAGAATTCCCTCAAGCCTCTCGTACCAACCTGGGTTCCATGAACCTGCCTATTGCTCTCCCGGTGACAGGCTTTTGAGAATTCCCTCAAGCCTCTCGTACCAACCTGGGTTCCATGAACCTGCCTATTGCTCTGCTCTCCCTCTCTCTTTGTGGAGCCGGAGAAAACGAACCTTGGGATTCGCTGGCTCTGCTCAGCTCCATGCTCCCTGCGCTGCTGCTGCTTGTTGTGCGATGGTGCGGTGTGGCCTGCCCGCCCCTCGCCCATCCATCCACTGCCCCCTATGCCGCCAACTGTCACCCACTGCCCTTCATTGTGCAGGGTGTTGTTGAGAATTCTCAAAAACACCCTGCAACTGTCACCGACTGCCCCCGGTCTGCAACCCCCCAGCAACTCACCTCTTCCTCCCATTGCTCTCCCATTCCTCTCACATTCCGTCTCGCCACCAGCCTTCGCTCGCTGCTTGCTTCTCCTCCCGTCTATCTTTTAGGCGCCTCAAAAAGAGACTCCGCAAACCCTTGGACTCATCGCTTCCTCTCATTCCGCCTCGCTCCTCTCATTCCACCTCGCTCCTCTCATTCCACCTCGCTCCTCTCATTCCACCTCGCTCCTCTCATTCCACCTCGCTCCTCTCATTCCACCTCGCTCCTCTCATTCCACCTCGCTCCTCTCATTCCACCTCGCTCCTCTCATTCCACCTCGCTCCTCTCATTCCACCTCGCTCCTCTCATTCCACCTCGCTGCCGGCGGTCGCTCGCTGCCAGCACTCCACCCGTCCCTTCCCCAACGCGCTCCAACTACTTGTTCCCTTTCCAGCCACTTGTTCCCTTTCCAGCCACTTGTTCCCTTTCCAGCCACTTGTTCCCTTTCCAGCCACTTGTTCCCCACTCTCCACCCCCCTTCTTCCCCCCCCCCCCCCCCCTCCCCCCCTCCCCCATCCCCCTCTTCCCCCTGCTCCCCAACTCCCTCCCATGTCCCAGATCTGTGTGAAGCGCATCGCCTTTGGCATGTGTCCATCTTCCTCCTCCAGTGTTTTTGTCGCCCCCCATCTCCCCCCATCTCCCCCATCTCCCCCAATCTCCCCCCATCTCTCCCCATCTCCCCCCATCTCCCCCCATCTCCCCCATTCTCCCCCCATCTCCCCCCATCTCCCCCCATCTCCCCCAATCTCCCCCCATCTCTCCCCATCTCCCCCCATCTCCCCCCATCTCCCCCATTCTCCCCCCACCTCCCCCCATCTCCCCCAATCTCCCCCCATCTCCCCCCATCTCCCCCCATCTCCCCCCTCCTCCCCCCATCTCCCCCCATCTACCCCCATCTCCCCCCACCTCCCCCCTTCTCCCCCCATCTCTCCCCACCTCCCCCCTTCTCTCCCCATCTCCCCCCACCTCCCCCCTTCTCCCCCCATCTCCCCCACCTCCCCCCTTCTCCCCCCATCTCCCCCATCTCCCCCATCTCCCCCAATCTCCCCCCATCTCTCCCCATCTCCCCCCATCTCCCCCCATCTCCCCCATTCTCCCCCACCTCCCCCCATCTCCCCCAATCTCCCCCCATCTCCCCCCATCTCCCCCCATCTCCCCCCTCCTCCCCCCATCTCCCCCCATCTACCCCCATCTCCCCCCATCTCCCCCCACCTCCCCCCTTCTCCCCCCATCTCTCCCCACCTCCCCCCTTCTCTCCTCATCTCCCCCCACCTCCCCCCTTCTCCCCCCATCTCTCCCCACCTCCCCCCTTCTCTCCCCATCTCCCCCCACCTCCCCCCTTCTCCCCCCATCTCCCCCACCTCCCCCCTTCTCCCCCCATCTCCCCCCATCTCCCCCAATCTCCCCCCATCTCTCCCCATCTCCCCCCATCTCCCCCCATCTCCCCCATTCTCCCCCCACCTCCCCCCATCTCCCCCAATCTCCCCCCATCTCCCCCCATCTCCCCCCTCCTCCCCCCATCTCCCCCCATCTACCCCCATCTCCCCCCATCTCCCCCCACCTCCCCCCTTCTCCCCCCATCTCTCCCCACCTCCCCCCTTCTCTCCTCATCTCCCCCCACCTCCCCCCTTCTCCCCCCATCTCCCCCCACCTCCCCCCTTCTCCCCCCATCTCCCCTCACCTCCCCCCATCTCCCCCCATCTCCCCCCACCTCCCCCCTTCTCCCCCCATCTCTCTCCCGCACACAGATCTGTGTGAAGCGCATAGCGTTTGGCATGTGTGTGAATGCGGGGCAGAGCTGCCTGTCGCCGGACTACGTGCTCGTGGAAGAGTCCGTGGCGGACCAGTTTGTGAGTGCGTTGCGTGCGCCAGCTGACTCGTGGTTTGGGGCAGTGCTGCGGCATTCCCGGGGATGTGCCTTAAGGAAAAACCCATGGGCGGGCAATTGGGACATGTTGGGGATGAGAGAGTGTGATTTGTGGCTGTGACTGTGACTCACTGTGACTGACTGTGACTGTGACTCACTGTGACTGTGACTGTGGTTGTGACCCTGTGACTGTGACTATGATAGCATTGTAAATTGTTATGCTGAACGCTCAGCGTAATTGTTAACCTGAAAATGATTTCCGTTCTGATTATTGGTTCTTGGTTGCCTTTCGACTCCTTGGCTAGTGTTGCACACCGTTCCCCGCCTTGCTTTTGTGATAAGTGTTACCTCTAGCAACACCATGTTCTCTCCTCTGAATTCTTCTCACATGTTTCCCCTCTCCCCCCTGCTTTGCGTCTTCGTTAAGCACCGTCCGTGCTATTACCGCACCGCCCTCTCAGTCCGGGTTGGTTTTGGTTCTTAAACCAACCACGTGTGTCGCACCCTGACCTCGTTCCATCTCGCTTGTCCATCTTTCCAACTTTCCAGCCCAGCTGGAACTCCCCCTTTCCAACTCAAGTTCCCCCCGTTCAACTCCCTTCCTTGCCCCCAGACCGACCACCTGCGGCGCACCCTGACCTCGTTCTACGGCTCGGATCCGAAGCAGAGTCCGGACCTGGCGCGCATCGCCACGCCTGCCAGCTGGGCTCGGTTGCACGCGTTGCTGTCAGACCCGGCCACGAGAGAGCACATTGTGGTGGGGGGGGAGACGGATGAGGCGACACGGTACGTGGGTGAGATGGGGCTGGTGTTGGCGGGAGGAAGTGCAGGACGAGGGATGAAGGCACGCCTGGAACCTGGGCTCGGCTGCACGCAGTGCTGTCGGACCCAGCTAGGAGAGAGCACATCGTGGTGGGGGGGGAGACGGATGAGGCAACGCGGTATGTGGGTGAGATGGGGCTTATGGGGAAGTGGGTGAGCTTGGGGCTAGTAAGGGGAAGTGGGAGGAAGTGTGGGGGGGGGAGTGGGGGGAATCGGGGAGATGGGGCGGGGGATAGGGGTGAAGGCACAAATTCCTGCAGGGCTCGGTCGGCTGCACGCGCTGCTAGCAGGGGCAACAGGCGACGTTGGTAGACTGGAGCTAAGTGGCGTTCAAGGGCACGCCTCCATACCATCAGCAGAGACGTGGCCTTGTGACTTTTGAGTCGACTCAAAAGTCACCTGGTAAACCAGAGCTACGTTGCGCCTACCATCATCCGAGAAGGGCCCTTGAACGCACGTCTTCCTCTCGATTTCATCCCAACCCAAACCCCATACCCCTCCCCCAACCTCCCCCACCCCCCAACCCTGTGTTCCCCTGACCAGGTACGTAGCGCCCACCATAATCCGAGACGTGTCCTTGGACGCCCCAGTTATGCAGGAGGAGGGCTTTGGGCCCGTCATCGCCGTCATCAAGGTGCGCGCAGTGCTGCTGGTGGGCTCAGGTGAGTGCAGCTGCTCCTGCTGGCAGCTGATGGCAGGTGGTGCTGGCAGGTGGTGATGGCAGGTGGTGCTGGCAGGTGGTGCTGGCAGGTCCTTTGGTCGTGGCAGCAGTAAAGTTGCTTTCAGGGGGGATTGCAGCCACAATCATACACATGCCATGGCAGGCGCGCCTCGTTGGTCATACACCATGTCGTTTCACTCTGAACTCATTCCATTTCATAGCTGTTTCTGTTGCTGTTTCCAATGCTTACGTACTTGCGTATGCCCTCGCAATCCCCATGGGTATACATAACTGGTGTGTGCCCTCTCAATCCCCATGGGTATACATAACTGGTGTGTGCCCTCTCAATCCCCATGGGTATACATAACTGGTGTGTGCCCTCGCAATCCCCATGGGTATACATAACTGGTGTGTGCCCTCTCAATCCCCATGGGTATACATAACTGGTGTGTGCCCTTGCAATCCCCATGGGTATACATAACTGGTGTGTGCCCTCTCAATCCCCATGGGTATACATAACTGGTGTGTGCCCTCTCAATCCCCATGGGTATACATAACTGGTGTGTGCCCTCGCAATCCCCATGGGTATACATAACTGGTGTGTGCCCTCTCAATTTCCATGGGTATATATATACCACATGGCCAAAAACCTTTCAGATGTGAGAGCAGAAGAGAGGGAGCTCAGCTTCGCATGAGAGCATTGGACGAGGACATCTGCTCTTTGAGATCCGTTGGCTGTCGCAGTTGAACCCACGTTTTACTTCTCATGAGGGCAGTGGGCGAGGCAGGCGTTACATGTGCCACATGGCCCTGCCCTTCCCAGTGCCTTGGGGTTCTTTTGCGTTTCTTTCAGTGGCTGTTGTTTCACCCCCCTCTCTTATCTCACTTGGGTTATTCTCAGGTGCGAGGGTTGGACGAGGCGATTGAAATCATTGCCGGCCGCCCCAAACCTTTGGCGCTGTACGTGTTCACGACTCAGAGCGCCGTGATCGACCGCTTTGTCAAGGACACCTCCTCCGGTGCTGTCTGCGTCAACGACACCACCTCCCATGTGCGTACTGCTCTCTTTCCTTCCACCCGCTTCACAGCGCAGGTTAATGTTGGAGCTCGTTTGTGCTTGTCAGTTACTCTGCACCGTCCCCATCCCCATATGTGGTGTGACCTCCGTCTGTCTTTGTGTAGTTGGCTCACTCTGTTATCATTTCAACATGTGGGCTGAAAGCCCTCTCTAGCTGCCATGTCTGCGATGCTTAACTGCACTCGCTGCTTACATAATCACTCAACTCTTTTGACCATGCAGTTCGTAAATCCAGCGTTGCCATTCGGTGGGGTGGGAGACAGTGGCATGGGCAGCTATCACGGGAAGCATTCATTTGACTGCTTCAGCCATCGCAAGGCGGTCATGGTGAAAGGCACGCTGCTGGATTTCCCGGTTCGATACCCTCCTGGCAGCCTGTTCAACGAGAAGCTCGTGAAAGCACTCATGAACATGTGGGTTGTGCAAATAGTCTTGGTGTTCTTAGGCTTGAAATAGGTGCCTCCTTATGCTAGTGATGTTGTGTACCCTTGTAAATAGTTGGAAAACTTTTATGCAGTAGCACACTTGTCGTCCTCAAACGAGGCTGCTCCTGTGGGGTCTGGCAGATTTTTTGCCCTAGACGGTGCAGTCACAGCGACCAACTGAAACCAATCAAGGCGCCTTCAATGCATCCACGTCTGCTTGGAGTCAATTTGCAAGAGGGTTTTCGGCTCCACCACTAGAGTTGGCGGGCCTTATAAAGTGTAACCGCAACGTGGCGAGTGACCCTCTCACTATGGTTGGATGCAGAGCCTGAACAAATTCCTGCCACTGTTGAGAAAGCGTTTCGGAGTTCGTAGACTAATGACCGTAAGGGGCTGATGAAAGAGAACAGGGCTTACTGGCGGGGCAGCTTCAGAGGTGTCCCGGGAGCGTGACACAAAGATGTATACAGCCAGGGGCGTTTTAATTCTTCATGTCCGGCTACCTAGAGTCGCTGACACTGGGTCTCAAACACGAAAACTGACACTTCGGGAATTTCCAAACCCCATCACTCGCAATCAAAATTCCTTGTCAATAATTTCTGACATCAGCTTGCGCCCTAGAGGGAACCTTGTGTCACGAAACTTCGTGTCATGGTCCAGCCATCCGTAAGTTCCCTATGGACGGGGCCTCAGTCAGTGTAGTGTAGCACTGTGTAAATTGTTGTAGAAACGCCTTAGAGTACACACTGCAGCATTTCAGATTCCCGAGTGCATTTCAGGAATCAGCATCCGATACTCGGTGGGACCATAGACTAGAACGAATCTTGCCCCCGTCAAATGGTATGGAAATGACTCGAGCCTAGGGCCACTGAGCGGCCTCCAAGGAGGCAAATTATAACTGGAACCCGATCCGTAACTCACTGCGCTGGTTGGGGAAGAATACGCAGTACCCCCGAAAGTGGGAATGGCGGAGGGCGGTCTACGTTACAGTACCGCGAGTTCCCCTGCAAGCTTTGACCGTGTACAGTTTATGAAACCATGTGCTCTACACTCCAAACTCTTTGAAGGGTTCGGCTTTTGAACCCCACTCACGTTCAGCTATCCTTGGGCTACTGTACTGTATCGTCTGTTCACTTCACATTGCACTGTTCTGACCTTCCATCCTCGCTGCTGCCCGTTCGGTCTCTGCCAATTTGCGTCGTCGTGCGCGTGCTCCCTTGTCTCAAACCTTGACCTTCTGGGTTTGGGGTGGGGAGAGCAATCCTTCTGAAGCTCACTCACCCATGTTTTATGGGAGCTAACAGCTGTCAAAACGAGCTCCGCTACCCAGTCACTCACACCTTGCCCACCGGGTAATGTCGTTTCCGTCACTTCTCTTCCGCCAGGTGAACTCCACTGGCGCATTGCTCGCCGCATTGTGCGGTGCCTGCTGCCAATCGTCTTCCAGAAGCCGCTGACTCAGCATTGCCGTGATTTCCGCCGCAAACGGTTGCTCCTCTTGCCATTTTTGTAACTGGTAGCTCCTTAATCGTTTCGCCATGACGGGCTCTCATCAAGTCAACACGCCGCTCTCTCCGACCCGTGCGATTTCGCCGAAGCAGAAGTTACAGTCGCACAACCAGCTCGTCGCACGGCTTCAGTCGCCCTCCGCAGACCCCGCCTCCCTCCCGCCCTCATTCCTCAAATACCCAATCTCGCATCTTCGCGCCAAGAACGTCACCATCCCCGCGGATTTCTTCTGCCCCATTTCGCTCGACATAATGCGCGACCCGGTCACCGTCGCGTCGGGGCAGACATACGAGCGCGGCGAAATCGAGCGATGGTTTCGCGAAGGACATCGTTACTGCCCGGTTACCCGAAGCGCTCTCGAGGATCTGCACGTGGCGCCTAACAAATCCCTTCGCAGCATCATCTCCGCCTGGTGCCTCGGCCACGGCATTCGTCTCTCCGCCACCGCTTCCGCTTCCGCCGGCGGCGGCGCGGCAGTCTCTCCGCGCGGAGTGCTGACTCCCCGCAGCGACTACACTCCCCGCGGGGAACAAGGGCCGCAGCAGCAGCAGCAGCAGCAGCAGCAGCAGCAGCAGCAGCGCGGGGACCAAAATCCGCGCGCGGAGCGTTCCGCCTCCCGCGGAGAGTCGTATTCCGCCCGCCCCCAGTCCGGGGAAAGTTACGAGGCGGCGCAACGATCCGCGCGCCCGCTGTCGGGGGAGCGGCACCAGCGGCGCGGAAGCGTGTCGTCGGACCGCGAGAGCGGAAACCTCAGCAGCGGCGGCAGCAGCAGCGCCAGCGGCGCGAGCAGCGGAAGCATCAGCCTCGTCTCCAGCAGCAGCGCTAGCAGCGGCGGCGGAAGGGCAGGCGGGGGCGGGGGCGGAGGCGGAGGTGGAAAACATTTCGGGCGGAGCGCGTCGTCGTCCGATGGTCCCCTCTGCCCCATCTGGCCCGTGTCCTCCCCCCTCGCCTCCCCCACGCACTCCCCCACTTTCGCCGCCTCGGTGCTCAGTCCCACCTGTGCCTTCGCCAGTAGTAATAATCCCCAGCTTAGTCCTACGCGCCCCGGCTTTAGCCCGACGTATCCGGCTTTAAGTCCCACGCGCCGCGCCCCGCACAGCCCCACGAACAGCATGCAGCAAAGCCCCACGCGCGCGCCGCTCAGCCCGCTGCCCGCGTATCTCGGCGCGAACGACGGGGCGCATGACGGCTGGAACGACTGGAACCACTACCCGGGCCGCGACGAGTGGAGCGGGCCGCAGCCGCGCCGCGTTGACTGGTCCGGGCCGCAGCCGCGCCAAGCGGCGCGGCCCGGGGGGTCGGGGGGAGGGGGGGGAAGTCGGCCTGGGTCCGGAGCGGGAGGGGGAGGGGGATTGGGGAAATCGGCCAGCGGGACAGGGGGAGGAGGCGGGCGGGCGGCTCTAGGGGCGGCGGATGGGGGGATGGGCGGGTTTGGCGCAGTAGGTGCTCGGGGGGGCCCGCCGGGGGGGCCGGGGGGATTGGGGAGCGCGGGTGGCGGAGGCAGCCAGCAGCAGCACGCGATGGCGGCGGCGCAGCAGCGGTTCTTCTCGGAGCGCCTCGACCGACACCAGCTGGCGCTGCTGGCGGCCTGGGACGACGACAGCGATGCGGAGGGGGGCGCGGGGGCTGGCGCGGGGGGGGAGAGAGGCGGGAGTGTGGCAGGGGGAGAGAGAGGGAGAGGGAGAGGGAGAGGGAGAGGGAGAGGGACAGGGAGAGGGACAGGGAAAGGGAGAGGGAGCGGGAGAGGGAGAGGAACAGCAACCATGTTTTGGCGTATTTGGCGCACAGCAGGAGCGCCAGCGGCGGGGGCGGGGGCGGGGGCGGGGGGGGAGGGCGGAACCCGTTGAACAGCGCGGGGAAAAGCTACAGTGTGGGAGAGCCAGTTTCCATCGTCTCAAACTCAACGCCGGGTACTGCTGGTGGTGGTGGTGGTGGTGTTGCCGGCGGCGCAAACAGAGACGCTAATATCGCGTATGGACGGTCTGTCTCTTCCAACCGCCTCTCCTCTCCCCAGCTCGCCACCTGCAGTGGTGCTGGCGGGACTACTGGTGCCGCTGGTGCTGCTGGTGGCAGCGCCATGAACCCCAGGAGCAGCGCGCGGGGCGCGCACCACGCGCACAGCCACAGCCACTCGTCCCTCAACGCCTTCAGCGCGCCCATCGCTGCCGCCGCTGCCGCCATCGCCTTTGGCGGCTCCAGCCCCAAGGCCGGCGCCCCCTGCACCCAGAATCCACACCTCAATCCGAGTCCGAGTGCGGGGTTGCATGCGGGCACAGCGGCGATGATGGCGGGGAGCAGGGGCGGCGGGGGGTCAGTGGGGTGCGCGCCCATGAGCGCCATGGGGGGGGGAGGGGACGAGGGGGATGGGGAATCGGATGAGGAGGAGGAGGAGGAGGAGGACGGAGCGACAGGGACGCTCAAGCGGTGGGCGACCAACCCCACAGACAGGTCAGGAGGCATGGGGAGCGCAGGCGGTAGCGCCATGACCACAAGTGGCAGCATTAGTGGCGGCAGTGGCGGTGCTAGTGGTGGTAGCAGCAGCGCCAGGAGGCCCTGTAGTGCGGGAGGGGGAGGCGGAACAGGCTCGGGGGTTTCCGAAGCAGAGGCGGCTCGGGTGGACCAGGAGGACCTGGTTCGGGCCCGGCTTCCAGACCTGGTTCGGCAAATGCTGGGGGGCAGTGCGGGAGGCAGCAACACGGGGGGCGACGCGGCTTCGACTTTCCTAACCATACAGCGGCGCAGAGCAGCCGAGGAGGTTCGGCACCTGGTTCGGGACTCCCGAGGCAACCGAGCAGCCGTGGTGGCAGCAGCGGGCGGGCGAGCCATCCCTGCGCTGCTCTCCCTCTTCTCGTGTGGGGATGCCGACACTGTAGAGCATGCGGTTACTGCTGTGCTCAACCTCTCCCTCTCCTCCTCCACCCACGCTCCCCTCATCAGCCATGGCGCCATTCCCCGCCTCGTGACTATAGTGAATGCTGGAAACAGCAGCCCGGGTGCCAGTAGCAGGGACACGGCCACTGGACATGACATGCTGCCGCCCCTCTCCCCTCGCTCCATCTCCCGGACCGCCCGCGAGAACGCCGCAGCTGCTCTCTTCGCGATATCTGCCTCGTCCGAAGCGAATAAGATCCTTGTCGGAACCACGCCAGGTGGCATCGCAGGATTGGTCGCGATGCTCTCCCCCACGTCCTCCTTCTCCGGGTCCCCCAGCGGCGGCTCGCCCAACTCCCTGCGCAGCCGCAAGGACGCCGCCCTCACCCTCTTCAACCTCTCATTGGCCGAGAAGAACCGGGCGGCGATCATCCACGCGGGGGCGGTGCCCCTACTGGTGGAGATGCTGCAGGAGTACGGGTCCGGGCTGGAGGAAAAAGCCACGGCGGTGCTGGTGAACCTGGGGAAGGCGGGGCGCATGGGGCGGGCCGCCATTAGGGAGGCGGGGGGGATCCCCCTGCTGGTGGAGGCGATGGAGTGCGGGTCGGAGAGGGGCAAGGAGGATGCAGTGGCGGCGCTGCTCATGCTGGCGGAGGACCCCGCGCTGAGGGACGAGATTGTGGGGGAGGGCGTGATGCCGACCCTGGGGGCACTTCAGCGATGCGGGACACCAAGAGCGAGAGTCAAGGTGAGTCAAAGAGAGCTGGAAAATGCTTGTGCGACGACTCAGATGCGGTGGAGGCGCTGCTCATGCTGGCTGATAACCCTGCGCTGAGGGATGAGATCGCTTTTGAGTCGACTCAAAAGTGCGCTGAGGGATGAGATCAAGGGGGAGGGGGTCATGCCGACTCTGAGGGACTCCAAGAGCGCGAGTCAAGGTGAGCTGTAGTGTAACAGAATTCTATTTTGAGGCGCCTAAAAAATGAGCCGTCATGTAACTGAATGGAGCCGTGGCAAAGGTGAATCACCAGGTCATCCCCGCGCTGGGGGATGAGCTCGTGGGGGAGGGGGGCATGCCCACGCTGGGGGCGCTGCAGCGCTGTGGCACGCCCCGAGGGCGAGTCAAGGTGAGTTTCTTCATAAGCACACCGAGCCGAGGCCCAGGTGAGCCCTATGTTGCTCTAAACGTGTTTAGCGTGTGAAGCGCTAGTGTTTATACATAGCGTGAGCCGTGGCGGAGGATCCACTTCTCTGAGGGCCGAGGTTGCTGCGGAGGGCAGGATGCCGACTTGAGGGGCGCTGCAACGCTGCGGCACTCCTAGAGCGAGAGTGAAGGTGAAGGTGAGTAGGAATGTAAGCAAAGGGAGTTGAGGCCGAAGTGAGCCGGGGGGGGGGGGGGGGGTGCTGTGGCGCCTCTGGGGGATGAGATCGTAGGGGGGGTGGGTTGCCTACTCTGGGGCACTGCCACGCTGTGGCACGCCATGGGTGAGAGTGAAGGCGAGTCAAGTTTACCTGGGGAGAGGCAGAGACCAGGTGGGGTTCGCTATGAGTGACCATTGGTTAGAGTGATGGCGATACTTATAAGAGAGCTTCAATCAGGGAGAGCTGAAGCTCTGAAAGAAAATTGTGCCGAAGAGATAAAGAAAGAAAGAAAGAAAGAAGAAAAGAAAGAAAGAGAGAGGAAAAGAAGGCATAAGAAAGAACAAACGAAAAGGGAAGAAGAGAAAGCGAAAGTGTGGGTGGGCGAGGAGGAGGGTGGGGTGTGTGCATGGCTACGTAAGTATGGGCTGAAAGTGATGCTGGCTCTGGTGATGTGGATGTGAGTTACGGTGCAGGTGATGTTTGGGTTTTGCATATGTATGTGAGTGACTAATACTGTGATTGATTGTATGCTACGAGTGCACATGGAATTGAGGTGGTGTGTGCTAGCCTGGCTGAGCGTTTTTTGTAACGTAGGTGTGCGCACAAAGGAGCTCATCTCATCTCTGAAAGGCTGTTAAAGAAAATCAAGGAATGGATCGGACAGGAGTGACCCAGAAACAGCGGGTGCTTTTTTTATGGGCCTTGGAAATCGATGTGGTGTATTTTGAAACGAAATCAAGAAAGTAGCACGGGGCGAGAGCATGCACTGTGGTGAGAACAAGATTTTGCAAATGTGCTTTCATGTAAGGGGACAATGGTCGTGATTGCCTCAGTCGATTTTGCCTCATAACCAATGCCATAAACCCCAATCACGCCATATTCACACTTACTCACTAGCCCATGTTCTAAGGCTGACTGCGCCAATTAAAACGTCATAACCCCAACTATATGGTAACCACTTCCATTCTCCCACTTGTACCACATGTCATGACATGACTTCACTCTAGACATGAGCATATTGCATCGCACCGCATGGCATTTATCACATTTTGGCGATTGCGGTATTTTATTCTTGGAAAAAATATCGCGCGTTGCAATACGCGCTATTTTAACCCCTTTTTTTTTTTTTTTTTTTTCTTGCGCTCGGTTTGTGCGATAAAATGCGATATGTGACAATGAAAATCGCGCGCTGTATTTATCTATCGCAGCATGAAAATTGGGGGGAAGGGGGGACACAAATCCCAAAAAGCCTCCTCATTCCCATTCTCTATAGCAGAATCAGAATCACATTTCGTTTTTTGCTCAGACTCATCTTTTTTCATTTTCCAAAAAAGCGAGGCGATATTATATCGCATCACGCTATACAATATACGATACAGCGCATGTTTATTTACATCGCGCCCATTATGCCATATGCAATAACGTGGTTTCCAAAAACTATATCGCGCGATGCGATATTTTATCGCATCGTATTTTTGGCGATAAAAGAAAATTCGATGCGATAAAATATTGCTCATGTCTACCCCACTCATGCTATGACCCCGCACAGGTCATATCCCCACTCACGCCATATCCCCCACTTTTGCCATATCCCCACTCACGCCATATCCCCCACTTTTGCCATATCCCCATTCACGCCATATCCCCCACTTTTGCCATATCCCCACTCACGCCATATCCCCACTCATGCCATATCCCCACTCATGCCATATCCCCACTCATGCCATCTCCCCGCTCATGCTATATCCCCACTCATGTCATATCCCCACTCATGCCACAACTCCAGTCATGCCATAACCGATTACCCCCCTTTCGCCCTCCTGTGAAAATCCTCCCACCCTCTCCGTGCCATCAACCCCCATGTGTGGTTTCAGGCGGCTCGCCTGCTGGCCATCTTCCGTTCCAAGGACTACTGAGTTCAGGAGTACTCTGTTCACGCTGTATTGAATCGCGGGAACCTTCAACACGGTGCGCCCAAGCCCCATGGTTTAGTCTCAACAGGCCACGCAAGCCATTATGGCCCAACGTCCTGCGCTCAAGTTTCACGTACAGTGCAGCCGCATGTAACATGGCTACGCTTCCAACCAGCCATACTCTGCTGCAGACGCTGGACTTGCAACAACTCTGGGGTGGGGTGGGTGTCGGTGGCTTCCTCCAATCCAGTGTTTGCTCCGCCAACCCCATCTCTTCCTTTCGCCTTCCGCCTTCCGCCTTCCGCCCGTTCCTTCCGCCCATCTCTTGAGGCCACACACAGCATGCGTTTTGATGCATGGGCTGCTGAGGCTGATCAAGGTACAGCTTCATTCAGGCTATGGGTCAGCGGGATTGGTAAATAATGAATGAGGGATGGCGCAGGCACATGGTGCATCGGAAATAGGCTGGTTGGCACATGGCATGGCTGCGAGATGGTGCATGGTGCATGGTGCATGGTGCATCGATCAAGGTGCACGGTGTACATGGAATGGAACAGGGATGCGGAGTGCCTGGCGCACGGTACGAGGAACCTTTTTCGCATGGTCCTTGATTGTTTGCTTAGCACTGAGGGTGGGTGTGTGAGATTGTTGCAGAGATCGACACAAAGAACTGCACTGCACTTGACAACCATGCCCCGGGGGTAGTTATCTGTTAAAAGCTTCAATGTATACGCTCAATTGTCCGTGGGGATTTTGTTTCGGGCTTACATTTTTGTCCACTGTTATTGGCGAGTGCCTGCCAGCACCACCAGCGTTGGCTCTAGCTGCAGTAATGATATAGATTATAAGGTTGTATTTTGTCTACTGTAGTGTGCAGCGTTGCACATATACCCGCAAACCGTACTGCACCATTCTCATGTTGACCCAGTTAGAGAGAGGGATTGAATCTCATGGCAGAACAAAGTCGCTACATCTGCTCTGCAGAAGCCTGCGGTTTCAATCACACCAGCAAGCACTGGCAGGAGCGATGCTTGAGTTGCAACATGAGCAATTGATGTCAGCAAACCCACAGCCTTGCAGAGAACAGTCTGTACGAGAGAGGAAAGCGGAATGGGAGAAGGGGGGAGAAGGGGGGGTGGGGGGTTAGGGGCGGGGGAGAGGCCAAGGATGCTGGGAGAGATGCTTGAGTCGGATGAAACGCGGGTTGAGGTCATGGTTAGGACGAGCACAGAATAGAGGATAAGAAGTTGTGCGGTATTAGGTTTAACATGCTGAGTTGCAGGCAGGGTTCTCTTACGCATTGCAAACAGTGAAGTAACATGCGCACGAGTGTGACGAGGGGGGTGTAGAAAAGGGAGGAAGTGGACGCAAAAGGAAGGAAGATGGTCTGCCGATGGAATACTTATGACACACTGGAGGGCGATTGTATGAGCGAATGTGAACGAGAGGCACTGGAAGAAGGAACAAGTCCACTTGTTTGGTTGGGTAGCATTAAGTGTAAGTGTCACCTCTAACATGATTCCAGCCGAATCAGTTGAGATATAATGGGGTTGAAATGTGACCGCTTTTTGCGATATGCTGTAATGTCCAGTATTGGGGGCATCAACCCTCAGCAGCTTACAAAAACCAATCAACGGCCCACAAAACCATGGAAACTGCTCAGTCAGCACAGCTATGTGCCCGACGGATCACAGACCACCAAAATGACAAATCACATACCAGCAAAAGGACAAATCACATACGAGCAAAAGGATAAATACAGCAAAAGGACAAATCACACACCAACAAAAGGACAAATCACATACCAGCAAAAGGACAAATCACATACCAGCAGACCGTCACAGTTACGAAGCTCGGCCACAGGAGGCAGCACGGTGGGTGGCTGAACGCTGGAATCGGAATCAGAAACCCCAGAACCTGAACCGCCTATGCCATGGGTGAAACAGACGGGGAGAGAAGGGGGGGGGGGTGGGTGGGAGGATGGTGGGCACGGAATGGCAAGAGTAACTGAGGATGGTGAGGGATTGAAGGGGAGAAAAGAGGCTGCTTGCCTACTGCTGCTCGGCCAGTTCGCTCTAGATAGGCACACTGCGAGGAAGGGGTGGAGGTAGAAAAAGGTGTGGGAGGTGAAAGCGCACTTACTGTGCAATTGATTGGAAGAAGAAGAACAAAGTTCAGGGGAAAAGCAAAACTTGACCTGGAGAAAGCACTCAGACCTACAGAGGGTGTTGTGCAGCTGGTTGCACGTTGTTACACAAATGCCGAGCAGCGCAGAGTCTGTCAACTTTCGAAGAAACGGATTTCCCCGCAGCGCTGTTGTCACTAACGGTGCCGCCATCCCTCCAGCACCAGCAGCAAGCTGACTTCCGACCCCCTGCATTGCTTTCCCAAGCCAATCTCCAGTGCTCCAACTCTCTACTTCCCCCTCCAGCCCACCAGTCCTCACTGTACCGTAGATAACTCGAGTCCTCGCATCTCTAAGCACTAAGTGCCCTCGCGTTCTCACTAGCGTGTCCAGAAAAACTTTCCTGCTCCCAGCAATCTCCCGTCGACCCAACCACTGTCCAGATCTCGAAGATTCGCATCGTTCTCATCCTCAAAAGCCGGGCACGCCAGAACCACAAGTGCCCTGAGACTTGTAAGTTCCCAAATAGACTTAGTCAGAGATCGGAGGTCGGGACAGGAGCATAGTGTCAGCCGCTGCAGCTGCGAAAGATTCCTGATCTGACGTGGAAGTGAAGTTACGCCGGGAAGACCGAACAGGAGGAGCGTTGAGAGGCTCGACAGCTGGCAAAGCGAGGACATGAAAGAGTGGATGGCAGACACGTCGCCACCCACTTGTGTGTCCTCACTGCTTGCCGGCCAACCGAACTCAAGACTCGTGAGGCCGCTACAGCGCTGGAACAGTGCTGGTGGGACGTCGGTAATGCTGTTGCAGTAATTGAAGCAAAATGTTTGAAGGTTGGGCAGCACGTAAGTATCCGGAAACACAGTAAGGCTTTTGAGGTGGTACAGCTCTAGACGTTCTAACGCGGTCAGGCCGTCTAAACGCTGTGGGAAATCGTCAAGAGCTGGGCAATTCCTAACGATCAGTACACGGAGGGTGCAAAGGCTGCAGATGGAGCCAGGAAGCGAATTGAAGCTCTTGCAACTCTCGATCGTTAGGGACTCTAGAGAGACGAGTCTGGACATAGCGTCCGGGAGCCATTCAAATTCGTCGCATTTCACGAGCTCGAGAATCCGCAGAGAGGTGATCTGGAAGAAGGGACCAGGAAGCTCGACGAGGGGCAGTTCGCCGTGCAAGAAGCACTCCTGGAGGCTCTGAAGCTGGCCGATGGCGTCGGGAAGTTCTTCCAAGTCCTGTGCGTCACGAATGGTCAGTTTCACTAGCGAGCTAAGGCCGCCAAAGGATTCAGGAAGATTGGCGAGAAACGCGCAGCGCATCAAACGCAGCTCCGTCAATTCAGTGAGCCGGCCGACGAATTCTGGAAGCTCACTGAAATTCGGACGGCCGAGAGTCAGCTTCTTCAGGGGACTTAACTCGCCAACTTGCTCCGGAAAATCCTCGAAGTTTCCCAGCAACGAAAGCTCAGTCAAGAAAGGTAAGCTGAAGAGCGATGGTGGAACATTTCCGTCGTGCGAGAGCAGATTCAGCGAGAGGTGCTGCAACCTGGTACATGCCGTGGAAAGCGCATCCATTCCCTCATACGTCAACGCGGCCTCCCGCGGATTGTTCAGGTCGAGATGAGTTAGCTTGGGACAGACGGAGCCAAGGCCGAGGAGGAACTCGCCATCCTCATCTATCTCGCATCCGTTTATCGTCAGCGAAGCCAGATTCTTGAACTGGGAAAGCGTTTTCAGAAGATCGGCGTCTGCTGCCAGGTTATGTGACGTATTAAACATGGTCGTTTGCGTAAGACAAGCGAGGCCATGCCATCGCTTGCAGACCAAGGCGTGACTGAATCTGCTGGATGACTGCTGGTTTAGCAGGCGGAAGATGACGCAGATGAGATCGTCTGTTAGGAAATTGAACGCTGATCGCGACATGACGAGGCCAGTAAAAGTACCAAGTCGTAGTACTAACGTCTGAAAGACGAAAATGCCTAGTAAGAGGCCCGAAAACTGTTGTCGTTCACTCTTCGAGGTGATCCCGCATACGAAACCAGAACTTCGCGAGGTGCGGGATCGTAGTAGGAGCGAAACCGGATTACTGCTAGGGAAGAAAGGTTGCCTGGTTTCAGTTCAGTGGTCCTTTCAGGAGCGCAGTGTAGAAGGCGCACAGCTGGAGCAAGCATATGCGAAGTTTTCTCACGACCATGCTTAGGGCGTGGTACTTTCGAGTACGAATCCCAAAATTCGTCCACTTGTCCGAATATTGGAACTTCGATGTTATGATATAGGTGTTAGAAACCCAGTCACTAACCACTCGGTTAAGAGGGCTTATTAATAGCGGGTCACAGCGCCCATAGCCCCCCAGGCTCTGCACCTGTGGCCCTTCCCCGAGGATCTGTAAGGAATTTCCATTCCTTACTGAGTCGTACGCTAGCGTGTACATCCGAACTCCTCAACTCGTCACGTTCGGCCTCAATTATCGGCCCAACCCTTTCCCGAGTCGCGTCCGGCACTGTCGCCACATTGCCGAACCTACCCACGTTCCGAGGGTATCGCCCTAGCACGCCAACCCCTATATAACCTTGAGCCTTCATTGCAAGAGCGACCTTGTATTCTCACGTTATAGTACATTGACACTTCCTATATCATAACAGTTGGCATCAGAGAATGATCTTTCCAGGAACCTTCCGTTTTCCCGTTTAATTAGTTAAGGGTGGTCAAAGGGGATTAGCACGGCTGCACAGCAGTTGTCTTCGATCGTAAATATTTTTACGTCAACAACTACAGCGTGTGCGCTGCTAGCTTCTGCCCCACCCTGACCGCCATGGCCCCGGTAGATTCGACGGTTGAGGAACAGACGACCTCGACTGCTATGAACTCTGCCTGGGAAACTGTGGACCTGCAAGCATTAATGGAGTAGTTGAATAATTTTACAAGCGTTGTCAACAACCTCCGCGTCGAGAACCAACGACTTCGCCAGGCGCAGGAAAGGCGTTCAGAGGAGCCGGGCGATGATACACGAAGCGAGGCGGGTGAGCAGCAACCGTCGCCAGTGGAGTTGGCACGACTAGCGGCAACAGCCCCGCGCTCAACAAGTGGCGGCGTGAGATATCAGCAACCCGCTCCTTTCGACCCAGCTAATACAGGCATGACGGTGCGACAGTGGATATTCGCCATGAATATCTATTTTAACACGGCGGGCATCCGAGACGATCAGAAGCGGATCAGCCACGCGTTAATACTGTTGCAAGGGGCCGCCCTACAGTGGTGGAAGGTCATCGTCGACTCAGCGGCAACTCGCACAAAAGGACAGCACGAGTGGTCCGAAGAATTCAGCGACAAAGACGAGGCAGACTTGCTGTTTGGTGTGACCCACATTCGCACGTGGGCAACGTGGTGCGCAGAGCTTCGCAAGCGGTTTGAGCATGCTCCTGACTCAGACAAAGCACGCGAGACTCTACGCATGTGGAAGCAGCTGGGATCTGTGTCCGAGTACACCGCGTCATTCTTGACGTTGGTGGACAGATGTGGCTACATGCACGAGTTGGAGAAGGCCGACAGGTACATGGGCAGGCTGAAGCCTGAAATACAGTACCAGATAAAAATGCAACGCCCTGCGAAGCGGTTACAAGACTTTATCCAGCTTGCCGAAGACGCTGATTTGCTCACGCAGCCGAGGACGAACTTCTACGACGGAGGTCGCCCTCGAGAACAGTACCAGTGCGCCACGATAAAATGATGGACGCAGTAGATATTTACGCAGTTGCTCTGCGAAATACGGGGCTATGCTATCACTGTGGCCGACCGGGTCACATCCGACGCAACTGCCAAGAATTCATAGCCCTCCAGAGTTCTATGGGGAAGAAGCCGGAGGAGCGACCGGGAAATGGGTCGCGTCAGTAAGTACCGGGCCCCTTACTGACGGGCAGGCTTCTTCTCCCGAGCCACACAGTCCCCACCGGGTCGTGATCCCGATTGCTGCAATCGACTGGACCTGGGCGAATAAGGGGGACGAAACTGCTGATCACCCTATGTTGGTGGAGGGTAAAGTCAACGGAGTGTTGCTGAAGATTTTCGTGGACGGAGGCGTGAGTCACAGTCTCATACAGCTGGACAGGGCTAAAAACACTGGGTATTCCCTTACTTAAATGTCTACCCGAAATTGACGCCCGACTAGTGGATGGAACACCGCTGGCTATACGGGAGCGAGTGGAGAACGTCAATTTTCATTGCGGGGAGCACATAAAATTTCGGTTGGGGCTGCTGGCGACTACACTCGACGGATGCGACGTGCTGCTGGGACGACATTGGCTGTGACAGTACAACCCGAAGATCGACTGGACGACGGGCGGCTGCAGCATAAAACTCGATGGGACCCTTTGCGAACTACCGAAATGGACGGGGCCTCGCATGCGAAGCACCCAAGTCTATGCGATAACTTTCAAGCACGCGATAAAAGTGGGAGCTGCAGCGTACGCCGTTGATCTTCGCGAGGTGACATCGCCGACACCAGCCGAAGATATCGCGAAGCTATGCGATGCCGTTCCTCCAGATTTAGCGGACCTGATTCGAAAATACCCCGAGATTTTCCCGGACGACCTGCCCGCTGGACTTCCGCCGAGCAGACCAGAAGACCATCGAATCGAGCTGGAACCAGGTGCCCAACCGACAGTACAGCGACAATTTCGGCTTAGCCAACCAGAACCGGAAGAATTGCAGCAGCAGCAGCTGGATTACCTTCTAACGAAGGGATTTATCCGACCCAGCACGTCCCCATTTGCCGCCCCGATACTGTTCACACCGAAAAAAGATGGAGGATTCCGCATGTGCATCTACTACTGCGCGCTCAATAGGATCACAATCAAGTAACGTTACCCGATCCCGCGAGCCGACAACCTATTCGACCAATCTCGCGGAGCCAAGTTCTTCTCGAAAATCGACTTGCGAGGAGGTTACCATCAAATTCGCGTCACCACCGAAGATTGTCACAAAACTGCTTTTTGCACCTGCTACGGCAGCTACGAATACATGGTGATGCCTTTTGGCCTCACGAACGCGCCCTCGACATTTCAGATGACCATGAACGGCACTTTCAGGGAACTCTTGGATAAATGCGTTATTATCTACCTTGATGACATCCTAATCTACAGCCGTAGTAGGGAGCAACACTTACAGGATCTTGATGCAGTCTTCACGCTACTGCACAAGAATCGCCTCATCACGAAAGGGTCTAAGTGCGACTTTCTTAAGTAGGAGTTGGAGTTTTTGGGCCACGTCGTTTCGACCTAAGGAGTGACAATCGACCCCAAGAAAATAAAGACCATACAGGAGTGGAAGCCGCCAACCAACATCAAGAAGCTGCAGAGTTTTCTGGGTTTCGTCAACTACGTCCGCCGCTTTATCCCTAATATGGCTGGGTTATCTGCCCCGCTAACCGACCGACTCAAGGATCACGATTGTTTTTGGTGGGGAGACAAGTAGCAAGCTGCATTTGACCAACTGAAGATCGCCCTCACGTCGCCGCTCGTTCTTCGCATCTCCGATCCTGACCGTCCATACGAAGTCATCACCGATGCTAGCGACATCGCCATCGGGGCATTCCTCCTACAAGATTTTGGCGACGGATTACAGCCGGTCGCCTACGAATCACGAAAGCTACAGGGCGCGGATAAAAACTAAACTGTCCACGACAAGGAAATGCTGGCGATCGTTCACGGTTTCAAGACCTGGCGGTGCTACCTGACAGGCTCTGACGTCACGGTGCGAACCGACCACAAATCCTTACAGTACCTGCGCGCCCAACCGAATCTCAACCCGCGACAGATCCGATGGCTCGATTTCCTCGAGTCAAAATTTCCATTATACCATCACCTACAAACGGGGCGCCAACAATATTGCCGATGCCGTGACCCGACCCACTGCCCATACCGCCGCCATACTAGTCGCCCAGACCAGCCCACTAGTTACCCGACTATTTACCCACGGCTACAAGATCAACCCTTTCTTCCGCTCTGCTATTCATCAACAGTATACCACCACTACCGGACACTATTTTAATAAGCCTGATACTTCCCGCATCAGGGTGCCCGGCTATGCAAGTACGTGTCCTCCTGCACCGCCTGCCAGATCATGAAGTCCTCCCATCAGCGAGCAGCAGCCGTTGGATCTGCCCGAGCAACCCTGGCAACACATCACGATGGACTACGTGACAGGACTGCCAGCCGGTCCCAGCAGAAACGACGCCATCCTCGTGGCCGTCGACCGACTCACGAAAATGGCGCACTTCATCGCCTGCCAACAGAAAATTACAGCCGAGCAAACTGCCCAGCTGTTCATCGCCAACGTCATCCGACTGCATGGACTGCCCACCGCAATTATTTCAGACCGAGACCCGAAATTCACATCGAATTTCTGGCGCCACCCGTGGGACCAGTTTGGCACCAAACTACAGTTTTCCTCCGCCTACCACCCACAGACTGACGGGCAGACCGAACGAGTCAACCAAACTATGGAGCAACTCATTCGAACTACCTGTACTGACCCACAGACATGGGAGAAATCCCTTCCGCTTCTGGAATTCGCGTATCATAACGCGCCCTCCGCCACAACCCATCAGCCCCCAGTTTTCCTCAACTACGGCCAGGATCCAGTGGTACCCTCTACCCCGAACATCGAGACACCCGTGCCCCGGTCCCAGAAATTTGCTGAAGACATTCTTGCCGCCCGAGAAAAAGCAGCTGAAGCCATCCGGAAAGCCAACCTGGTTGCAAGCCGACAAGCCGATCGCCATCGACGTGGCGTCACTTACAAAGTGGGAGATCTCATCCTACTCGACACTCGCAATTTGCGGCTGCCGATCCCGAGCAAACTCCGACCCAGATTCTGCGGACCTTTTCAATAACGAATAAGGTGACACCTGTCATTGCTCACCTCTTACTCCCGGCTGACTGGCATCACCACCCGGCTTTCCACGTCAGCCTCTTATGGCCCTACGTCCCCAGTTCGTCCGAATTGGCCCACCAACGCAGTGTTCCGCAGCTGATGCCCCCACAGGAACCGACGACCGAGCCTTTGAAAATTCTCGGCCATCGAGTCACGACGCAACTGAACCAT